TTAGGGGTGGGGGAAAAGGGCGGGGCCATGGCCCGTGGAGGGTCCTCTTTTTTATTTATGAGATATGGTAACCCTAAAGGAAATGAGCTTTAACTCCGCCTTCGACATGGTGCCCGCCACCGTAGCGAGCGGAAAAACGGTGATCCCAGGCCAGGCTGCATTAGAACGGTAGCGCTGCTCTGCACATTGATTTGCGTTGCTGTTTACTCGAGACGCAACTTCCAGTGCCCAGGGATGGCTCATGCTGCTCCAGCCGTGGGAGAGTTTCAGGACAGGCCCTGCCTCTCGCGCAGAGGAAGCGAAATCCTCCACCACGCACGGGCCCATTTTCCTTCTGGCCTCTCTTCCATCCACAGACTAGTTTAGTTCCCCCCTCCGTGAGCAATGGCTGAGCCCCACGCCGTGGAAAAGAGCACATCCTCATAGCACAGGGTCTGACCGCCCCCAGGCCACTGCAGGCAGTGGCAATACGCAGTGAATTTAATGCACTTTGCTACAAAGCATATTCAGCCAAAAGCAGCCGGACCATAGGCACCTCTATGCAAAAAGGCCGGTGCACCCCTTATGCCCGGAGGCTGCTGGGTGCAGTCTCAGCACAGTGAATTCATCCCCTCCAGGGCCATTCTTATGTATGTTACACCCGCATGACTTTGTTGGCCTGATTCTCTTCTCCCGGTGGTTTCAGAGGGGTGGGCGGTTCCATGAACGTCACTAGAGCTACTCCAGATTTACCCCAGTGTATCAGAGGTCGGAATAGGGCCCACTCCCAGGAGGGGAAAACGTGTGCAATAGCTGGGCAATTGGTGAATACTGCGGCCTAGGAACCGAAGGGTGACATTCACGCCTACAGAGCGGCAGCACCCAGCCTAGCCTCCGAGTTTACAGGCACTCATGGTCGTGCCGGACTTTTTCCGCCTAGGAAGCGCTCACAGGCAGTTACAGAGAAGCATTAGGTAAAAGAGTGCTGGTTCTTTGGTGGGTTTTTTGTTTTTAAGAGCCCCCCAGTATCACCCCCATGAGCGTTAACGGGGTGTGAATTCCAAAGCGTTTTGATGGCGCAGGCTCGAGGCCCACCCCATCACCAGCGCTGGGCTCCCCTGGCCTTGGCTGCCGACGGCTGTGTGCGGGCAAGCGTTCCGTTGTCCAGTTGAGCCCGTTACTGTTGCTTGCAGCTCAGCCGTTTGTAACGTCTCCTGTCCCGGCGTCCCCTTCCCCCTGCACGTGTCTGTTTTGCTTCTGCTGGATGTTTGTGTGGGGCGTTTGCCCCCTGTTTAATTGTCTGACGTGTAATAATAGTGGCTTGTTCGTTGTGCTCGTGCCTCTGATCCAGTCTAAAAACCACAAGGGTTCAGACAGCGAGAAGTGGGGGGGGGCCTAGGTAGTAAGGACTAGCTGCAAAGCAGGGCTGAGGGTGGGTGAAGAGCAGCTGGGCCCTTGGGAACAGGGGAGGCCTGGGCACCAAGCTTAGTGTAGCCTGTGATGGCAGCGACAGAGGGACGGGGGCCTGTCCTGAAACTCAGTGCTCAGGAAGCAGCTGCTTTGGAGAAGGTTTCAGCAGAAGGGGAATTTTCTGCAGCCTCAGGAGGGGCTATTTTTAGAGCAGACAGAGCTTAAAACTGTCTCTCTGCATTTGATCTCAAGCGCAGGGACTGGAACTAACGGTTTCCCCTGTAATTTCAGACCAAGAGGCCCTGGGATTCTGCCACTTTCAATAAAGAACAGAGGCCTGCTGCTGTAAGGGCTGTGTAGCAAAGGAGACAGGCCTGCTGACGTCCCCCCAAGCCTGCCAGCAGCCCTTCTTTAAAGTCAAGCCTCCTGTGCCCAGCTCTACGGACCAATCCCCAGCTCCTCAATGAACTCCCTGCAGATCACGGTAGTTCGACTCAATCCTGCCCAGCCCTAGTTCTGGGCTTTGCTTTTCTTACTTCTTTCTTTAGGCTTAAGAGGAGACCCAAAGGCAGGTCTTTGTTCCTGACAAGTCAATCGGCTCCTTTTGTTTAGTTCCCCCTCCGACCGCATCATCACCCTCCCTGACGTCAGGTTTGGTGTCTGCTGAGCGTGGAGGCTTACAGGTTAGGAAGAAGTGGCAGGCAATGGGTTTAATGGTATGGAGGTCAATGGAGCTGCACCAGGGCGATGGGGTGGCTCACTGGTTAGAGCACTCAGGAGAGCAGGGTTTTATTTTCAGCTCTGTCGCAGTCCTGCTGGGTGACCTCGCGCAAATCACGTCACTGCCCCGTGCCTCAGTTTCCCCATCTGTGAAATGGGGGTGATGATACTGACCTTTATAAAGTGCTTTGAGCTCTACTGTGGCACAGCACTAGGGGAATTAGATATAATATGGGGGAGGGTTTTGACACCTTAGATCTACGCACAGGTCCTCACTACAGAAGGAAAAGAAATGCCTGAAGAATCTGCTAAGAAACCAAAAGGGGGATTCGGGTCTGGGCTGAGCACCAGCACAAGACCCGTAGCTCATGGGCATCACCGTTTTCCCAGTCGCACTGGCCCACGGGAGGGGAGGAGGGGAGGGTGTGATCTCATTTCCTTACAGTAGAATAGCAGGGGGCCAGTCCAGCTGAGATCAAAGCCCCATTGTGTCAGGTGCTGTACAAACACTTAGTAAGCGACGGTTCTCCCCCCAGTGGGCTCATAGCCCAAATGGTGGCAAAAGAGGCAGAGGGAAGTGACTTGCCCCAGCAGCTCAAGGGCAGAGCTGGGATATTGAGCCCAGTTGAGTACTCTATCCACTAGGCAACGCTGCCTCTGCATTAGCTGATTTTTTTTGGGGGGGGGTGTTGGGGAGGCTTTCAGGATGAGAGTTTGACGATGGTGGGAGTCAGGAGCATTCTGGAACAGCTGCTTTAAAACCTTGTGTACACTTGGGAAATTATGCAGC